ATTAATAAACAATTTAGAAATTTTTTAATTTTTTTAATATATTTATTAAATAATATGTAAAATATCCAAATAATAAATTATTAAAAATTAAAGGTACAATATTGCAATAAGAACTGGTAGATACTACAGTAAAATAACTTTGAAGGTATAATGTTATAATAAAAAATGTGATATCACTATAGTACATGTGTACAACCTACGTGAACACTGAAGTGATATGGAAATCTGGTATAATAAGTAAATTTAAATCAAAAAATTACTCAATGCTGTAATAGCTAAATTTTTCAAAGTACAATATTCTATTAAAATATAATTTGAAAGTACATTGTTGTAATAAAAAAAACTGAAAATACAATGCTATAATAATTTTGTTTATGAAAGTATGTCGCTATTTTATGCAGTTTACCCTATCTGATTATTTCTTAATAGTTACTTTCTTGATATTAACTAACTATCAATTATTAATTAATATTAACTATTAATTATTTTGAATTATTATTGAACCCATTAATTGTTATTATTATTCTATATTAGTTTGTAAAAAATAAAATATAGTAACTCTAAACATGTTTTTCTATAATATTTAAAGTTATATTTATTTTGTTTTATAAATAATAAAATTAATTAATTAAAATATATACAATTGATAAACTTTGTTTTTACTCATATTACGTGTATCAATTATTTAAAAATATCAATTAATATATTTTCTTTTTCTAAATTCCACATCTAGTACACAAGTCTACGTCTATAATTATATTTATTGTTGGTCATAAAATGGTAACGACAATTACAAGAGTGGTGTCTGATTAATTTGAGTTTGACTTCAAAAGTAAAAAATATTTGAAAGTCTTAGGTTCAAATCTAAGGAGAAATAAAAATCCCCTTGTGGCCACGGAGGTTCAAATGCGGTGACTCCGGGCTATCTGCAAAGCAGGTAGTTGCCCTGGAATTAGTCGGCTCGCATAGCGGGTTGAATATCCAAGTTAATAAAAAAAAAATAGTAATGACCAACACAAAATGTGTTTGTAGAAGGGAGAGTTGAATACAATTACAACAAATTTTCACTTTTAATCATGTATGTTTGTTGAAAACAAAAAGTTACAAATTTGTTGCGGAACCTATGAATGTAAAACTTGATCATAAACAATCTGGGTGGTGACAGATTTACTATGACTGAAAGAGTAAGAAAATGATGTACTCTTTTATATCTGAATTATTGAGATAGTCTTTCAGATGTACTCTTTTACATCTGATTTACAAAGAAAAATCCTATCTAGTTTTTTTTCCCAAAATATAAGCTATATATCGGATTCCAGCAAAATTAATTATGAAGTATAAGATTCGGATGATATAAATTACTTAGAATAGTTTGCTTTAAAAAATTAAGGCTGGATGAAGCATTTGAAAAATCCTATTTCGCATTTCCAGTTTTGATGGGGAATGATGAAATCAGATTCAGAAATCAACCATTAAGTCTTAGATATTGAGAAACAAATCTGAATATTAAAACTGGATATTTAGAATCGAATCCTTGTAACGGGATCCGAACATACAATTCGCATTATGAGGATTAAGTCCGGATGTTCAATCTTGATATCAAATATGTCCAAATGTTATGAATCAGATCAAACTATTATAAGTTTGTAACTAAGAATTCTTCTAAGTGTTGGATCAGATATATTTATTATTAAATCAAATGAATGAGACAAACATATCTATATATATACTATCTTATAAATCAAATTTAGCAAAAGTCTTAAAGTCTTAAAATACTAAATGACTAAGATACTCTTATCTATACTACCTCACTTTTTCACCCCCTTCTCTCCTCATATACACTCACCCCCTCACATACACTCACCCTCTCACATTAAACCGATTTTTTTAAAATTATAATTTTAAATTTACACTTTGTACCCCTATAATTAGTTAATTAATTTACTTTAGGTCATTTATTTTTAAATGTTTCATTTTAAATCTTTATCAAATTAACATACATAATCGTATATCAACTAAAACATGTTTAAAAAATACATTTTTATTTTAACAAGTTACACCATTATAATCGTATCGTTAATACATTCGAAATGAGTCCAATATTAAATAGTTTTTGACTTAATTATATTATTATATATTATATATACTGTGAAAAAATATTTTTAATATTTATGATTTATACTTTTATAGTTATTTATTTATATATATACTATATATTTTGTGGTTAGGCTGTCCAAATTGCACTGTATAATATGTTTTGAATTAATATGTTCTTGGATTTTTTTTGATATATATATATACATGTATTAATTCAACCTTAATCTGAGTTTCTGGACAAAAAAGAGGGTAARCAGTTGAAATTTCATTCTAAAACCCATCTTTTTTTATCTTTTCATGGCTTATGATTTGTCAAATTTGTAGTTTTCTTTATTGGTTTTGAGTGTTTATCTTAAAACTCAAGTTTCTTGGTTCTTTGCACTTGGTGTAAATCGAACACATTTGTGGAGTCGTTTAAATATGTTGGATTTTAAACTGTCATATAATTTTTTTCATCGATAGTCTGTGATTGGAACCATAACTCTTATTTATTCAAATTGTATTAATATGTAAAGACCAAGTGTAACATATATCGTCGTTAAATCTTATCTTATAAAACCAGTGAAACTTCAAAATCGTTAAAATTCATGGCTCCCGCCGCATTGCACGGGTAGACAACTAGTATAATTAATAATCAAATTTAAGTTCTATTAATTAACATATTTTGTTACTTTTTACTACTTGGTTTGTATTAATTAACATATTGCATTATTATTAATTTGTTTTAATTAGATTATATAATTAAAGAATTGATTAATTTCTGAACATATTATTTGTTAATCATTTTACATTTTCCAACACACTTATCAGCTAACTTTTGCCAAACTTGATTATTTGATCAATCAACTTATGAATTACCGATAGTTTATCAGTTAGTTTGTCAATCATAGCCTTAAGATCCAAGTTGAGTTAGAGGCCGTTTACTAAACACTTACTTGGTAAGTGCTTACCGAATAAATTTTCTTATCGAATGAACATGAGAAGGGACAAATATCTTATCGGATAAGAGTAATGAGAATGATAGAGACTCTTACCCAGTAAGTGAGGATGACGACTCTTACCCAGTAAGTGAGGATGACGACTCTTACTCAGGTAAGTGCTTACCCAGTAAATTGTTGCATTTGATATGTTTTAATGTACTAAAATATTGCGCATAAAAAAAAATCATAGTGTTGACTCCTATCGGTAAGCGTTTATCGGGTAAGCAATTGGGTAAACGGCCCCTTAGGGGCTGTTTGGCAATTGCTGAATGGTTCGGTGCAGAATGACTAAGTGGTCAGAATGATTAAGAGGCTTTCATGATATAGTGCAAAATGAAATATAATTGTTTATAATTGTGTACAATGAAATTATGGCTGTGTAGAATGAAATTATGGCTCTTAATGGTTAAGGGAGATCCATGATACAAAATCATTCAGAAGATTTTGAAACCATTAAAAAACAGACTTTTATTTTGCCAAACAAGATTAACCTTTTAACGATTCAGAAGTTTCCTCTTAATGAAACTATTAAAAGGTAAACAAACAATCCCAATTTAAAAGTGGAGGCCCCTACTATTGGTCGACAAACAAACGGGAAACATTCACATATTTTCTAGCTCAAATTATGACTTAGAAACGTTTAATCATAATCGAGCATACAAAAGAAGTACAAGATGATATAAATTGGTAGGATCTTTGCTCCTTAGAAAATAAGAATTTTACGAAATTACCCCGGAAGAGTGTAAGAGGTCGTCACACACACAACACAGGATACGAAGGGTTCTTCGATGCGCCACCGACCCATTCGGGAGGATTTTTTCGATCTCCTAAAGAAACCTATCTTTTTGACAATCTAACAAGGTCTGTTACTTACCATCATCACTCTCCTTCTTTCCCCTCTCTCTCCTTCCACGATATTTGGTCTCATGGTTCTCCTCTGTCGGTGAAACAATTGCTAAACCCTAATTGTTTCTTACTTGTCTTGTGGTAAGTGATTGAACAAACACCACACGCTTCTTACGTTTGATTTCTGTAATGTTGGATTGTGTCATCATTAAATTACTGTAAATTAGTATTTACATGATTTGATCGGAGAGATCTGAGGGATATTTTATTGGAGTATTGATTAGGAAAAGGAAAAAAAGATTGTGTTTTTCGCGAGGAATTAGATATATGTCCGTCAATCAATCGAGGGGTGATAAAAACGAGCCGTCACAGAACAGAAGATCGGGTCGATCTGGTAACCCCGCTTCGCAAAGGAACTTTCAGGGTGGTGGCGGGAAGGGTGGCGGCGGCGGCAGCACCAACGCCCCTCCATCCTCTTCGTATTATACTGGTAAAAGGTAAAACAAAATTAGGGTTTATTACTCATTCAAGACGTTTTTTTTTTGGTGTGAATTTAGGGCTCGTTTTAATGTTTTCAAATTTGGGATTCTTTCTTAGCTTCAAGAAGGTGGACAGTAATGCACAAGGAGTACAGTCCAGGGTAACAGGTCCTCATCCTCATCCGAATGTGAATTTGGGTTCCTCAAATTCCTCTACTCTTGGAATAGCTGTACAGAATGGTGCACATATTCAACCGCCATTAAGGGGTAAGTTTGCAATTGTTTCTGTACGTACATTAAGAACAATGAAACTTGTCAATTAGAGAAGTACCTGTATTTAAGTGATATACCATCGAATTTTATAACTTTTATATGTTTACATTAATCTGAAAATAATTATGTTATATATTACAATGAACCACTTAATGTTTCTTTATGAGCCTATACCTGATCTTGTTTAGGCAATTAGGACTAGATTACTTAATGGGCTGTTCGGTTGGATTTCAATTTAGTCCTGTATGGATAAAGTTGTCTGAATGGATTAATCTGTCTATATAGATTGAGAAGATTTTTGTTTGGTAGGGTTTTTCATAGACGGAAGGAGCGTGCTTTATAATTGGGAGGGACAAGGTTCGGAAAAAACTTAGGCTTTCTGCATAAAGCTCCCCCCTAGAAGCTTATTGAATAAGCCACTTTTTGTATTATTAAGCCACTACCAGACAATCATGTATAGCTGACCAAATAAGTTGAGTCTCGTTAAGTTCATTAAGCTGCTAACAAACTGGGAGTTACTCCACTTGACATTATTTGGAACATTGTTTATGATTTTATGAAGTATAGGAGGTGAAGCAAAAACAATATCCATGGATTTTTTTAATTTTAATTACTATGTGGTTTTGCTTTTAAGTTATATCTACATGCGATTCTTTAACGACTTCATATGTTTTATTTGATTATTGTAGGAACACCTGATGCTCCATTTACGGGTGCCACTTTAAAGCCAGCTGATGCATCAATCCAGAAAAGCACCCCAGGCTTGCCAAAAGCTCCACAGAGTAATGCGACTCCTCCCAGCTATGGCACTATTGGCGCCACAGGTCCTGTAACTCCTGTTAAGGGTGCGACTTCAACGATGGTGTTTTTTGACACATTTTACTTTATTTTCATGAGTGTTGTTTTTCCGAGTTCAACACTTGAACAGATTTAAATCTTGACATAAGCCTGAGTCGCCTTAAGAGTATTTACACGTTGTCTATTGATACTTTTTTCTTTGTATTTAGGATCGACAGATGGCTCTAGGCCGTTTCCTCTTCAATTTGGCTCTATCAGTCCAAGTGTTATGAATGTAATGCAGGTATTATACTCTGCATAACTTTGTGCAAAGAAAATTTCTTTGAATTGCGTTAACTAGACACCAAATCTGTTGGAGGGTTTTTTATAGGTACCTGCTCGAACCAACTCTGCCCCACCAAATTTGGATGAGCAAAAACGTGCCCAGGTACGTTTTTGTTATTTTTGGTCCCACACACGAGTGTGAATGAGGTACTGACCTATCAATGTGGATAAAAAA